ATATGTCTCATCATGGTTGTATTCGTATTATTTATAGTTCCCGAAACGAAAGGTAAAACATTTGAGGAAATCCAGACTTACTTTCATCACAAGTATAGTGTCAGAAATAGTGATAATAGACGGACTCCCACCGTTGTGGTTCTCTCCTGTGAGTGAAACCCTATGTTGTGGCGATGCTGCCACAGGGAGTTTCCGTCATGTGTGATATCATTACCAGTGGAAGACTGAATGTCCTGCCCACTGTGTAGCTGTTCTGATGGTTGGATATCTCTTATGCTGGGAATCTGTATAATTACTATTGGAATTTCCTGTTCGTTTTTATTGGTCTCGAGGCCCATATGGCCCATAGGTTAATTGATTACTTCGATAACCATCATCCTATGATCTTAAAAAGATCATCTTGTCGGTGAGAGTTTTTAACGCGGTTGGTATCTTGTTTTTTATCCACGACTCGCATCAGAGTCTGGGATTGTCGTCTCGAACGTCGGGAAACCTATCACGATCTTCGGCTTTCTGTTGCCGCACACTGGAGTGATATTGCGTTGGAAGTGGACAGTATCATCGATTCATATGGGAATGGCACTTCGGTATTGCGATCTTTCGGAGGTAGTTGTTAGATCCTCGATTCAGTTGATGAGATGAGATTCACTGAAAATTTAGTGACAATGCCTGTCAGAGGGAAATCAACCACTGTAGCAAAGAGAATTTTGGCTGTGAACGAAGAGCTGTGATTTCCTTCCTATGATTAGCTGGTCTCCTCAAGACACCCTCAATGATGACTGATAACGCAAAGTTAACACCATACAACAGGACATCCTTGTCTTTATTTCTCTACCATTATTAATGACGTAGCTTGAAAGATGCTGTGGAGCCGGAAGAAGACCTTCTACTACTGAGGGTTGAAAGTCGTTTCTCTGATCTTAGTCGTGTGCCATGTTGTGTATGCCACTCGTTGATCTTAGCATCCCCGTACTGAGCTGCCTCGAAGAAGTAATCACTTATCCAATCATAGCCCTCTTCCTTCGTCGGAGGTGGATGAATGGCCATAAAGTCGAATAGAGCCTCACATCTTCGGTGATCATCTTTAGCGATCGGAAAGAGACTTTGGACCTCTTTCAAATCTCTCTCGGTCAGATGGTTGAGGGGATCAATACCCGAAAAATGCTCACGGGCCTCCTCTATTCTCTTCTTTTCTTTGAATGACGAACCTTCGATGTCAAGCTTGAACAGCTCGCCACATTTCAATCTACAACACGTCGTGGTTTCCAACAAATCCCAACATGCAACTTACAAATACGATATGGTCAGTTCTGGATCGAGCAATTCAAAACATATTGATTTCTCGGTCTCCCTCATTGGCGATTTGCCATCATTTTGAGAAACTTTCAACATTATGGCAAACTGCCACATTTTGTTCCGTCGAACGCACTTGTTGGTATCGACAGCAGTGACTTCACTGTGGGCCTGATAGACCATGTGGCAACAACTATATTGCTGGGAAGGAGAACTTACACGAGACTGTTGCTCGAGTATATTCACGCGTCGTTTCAAGAATGAGATATCGGCCTGATGCGCCAGTGGTATAACGAACAACAACAGTGGCGCTGAACACTACGTTACTTGCATGGCATTGAATGCATCATCAGAGAGCGTCACTGAGTTCATTAGCTCTGGCGGTGGGGGAGGTAGATTATCTAGCTCTGGAGGTGTGGGAGGTGGACTATCTAACTCCTCCTGAGTTGACTGATAATGAAGGTTATTGCGACAAGAGAGTTGGGGTGACTACCTCAATGATGGTGGGCAGACTGTTGCGACCTGTTGAGGAGAAGACAGAACGGGCTAATCCACGTTCCAGGAGAGCCGAGATCAGAAGGTAGTTCGTTACGACAGTTAACATCGCAGGGGAGTTGTTCCTAGATGAGTGATAAGCTATGGAGATATACAGCCAAAAACTGCTCCAATGTCCTCAAGCCAGGTTGAGACTTTCGACTCGGGAGTAACATGATAATCGACTCCAGTATGCGAATGAAACAATGCCTCTGTAGTGATTACTGAATAATAACAACTGCAGTGAGACTGGAGACAAGCCCGGGGGAATTGTGTTTCGAGCGTAATCGTCGATCACTGATCGAAGGGCGGGCGACAACGTATCAGGAGGAGAACTTTTCTCTACGTCAAGTGGTGGATAAATGCTAGTCTCGTACTCGTCCCACCCGAACCTACCACCGTAGTCGGGATACCAGCACCGGAGCAGTCTGCCGTTGAGATCGGCCCGTTGGGTCCATGAGAGGTTTCTTGAACGGTATTCAACTCGTTATATACCTCCTGTTTTCAATTTTGGTTGGGTCTGGAGATCTATTCGCAATGATCGGTGAGAGCATCTACCATCAAGAGGTGGTCCGTATCATCGATGGCTACTGCTAATGATACCGACGATGGAGGAAGGCTCATGCACGGGCTGACTTGGGTATACATATATCTCGTGATTCGCTTACCGCCCCTACTGTCATCACAACGACGTTCGTAAGAGATGGAATTATATAATATACGGACTCATACAGCATACGGAGCAGTTCTTAGCTTCATTAACGTCTGCTCGGTCTTCACATCATCAACCGTCACGCGCCACAGAATTCTCCTCTCAGGCTGGCACATCCCCCGGTTCAGGGGTGGTGTATCGAGAGACTACGATCGAGCTTGTCGTCGGACAGATGCCGTCGCCTTCCTCGGTTTTCGAGTAGCCCTTTGGGTCATTGACTGGAGGGTATTGCAAAATTGGACACCTTGTTCTTCCAGCATCTCCCGTAGGAGAACTGTATCACACACAATAGAGTCGTCCTGACACATGAGGGCTCTTCCGCGATACCATACAGGACCGACCTGGTTCTTGAGACGTGTCGAGAGGTCAGTGAGGTCGATGGTCTCAAAAAGGAGCATCCGTTGCCACATTTCAGTGTCCTTCCGTATGGCGTGGACGAGAGCCAATTTATTGGCCCTCCGCTTTTCCTCAGCTTCTCGTTTTTTCTCTAAGACCAACAACAACGTCAGGGGCAAAAGCCAGTTGAAACCCACACATGCCTTCCTTGGATTTCTTAGCGGGGGACCTCCTCTGTCGCTTCCTCCTCGGAGCCTCGACGGAAGTCTGTTCCTCGTCCACCCTCACGGCCGCGCCTTTCTCGACGTATCTGTGGACCACTGGACTAGGAAGAGCGCCACGGCCTAGGTCCCTACCTAGCGATGTCCGTGAGGGTCCTGACCATGTTCCCTCGACTAGAGGTGCCAGAGGCCACCTTGAGACCAAAGAATGACATCCACCGCTTCAGTTCGTCGTCTCCAAGTTTCTCCCAGTCCATTGAGCCCAACACAGATCGTCCGGCCTGCGTATCCGCCCTACCACCAGTGGCAATCTGGTCCGGTGACACTGTAGGGCTTTCGCTGGCGGCCGTCTCACCCAACGCGCCCTGCGAGGCGCCACCAACCAGGACCCCATCGGCCATGCTGTCCTCCAACAGCAAGTCATCATCGTTAACCACTTCCACTACTGGTACATCATCCTCGTACGGAAGGGTCGTCTGGTCAGCCGACGATTCCGGGACACCCAGGCTAGCCAGCGATACTCGGGGGAGCTTCCATGTCCCATTGGCCCAGCGGCTCACATCTGAGCCTCTCCTCATGGCCCCCAGAGCTTTCACACGTTCTACAAGTGGAAGAGAGGATAACCACTCATGCCGATTCGCGGCATCCGGTCCACTCTGGTCCACCTCTTTCTCCGGCGTGGCGGTCGGAGGGCTGCCCCCAGACAGACACTGAATATCATCATCATCATCATCATCACTCGGTAAGGAAGGTAGCGGTCCTGACCACCCGTCCCCCCGCTCGGATATGTCGTCCCCGCTGACCTCTATGATAGGATAAGACTGCATGAGGTCGTCTTGACTACAGCTCTCCTGTTCCAAAGTCGCCGTGGTGGCCTCACTGTACCGCAGATGTACCGGTCCCTCATCATCCGTGACCATCTCGTTGGGGGTCAAAGGTATCGCCTCGACGATAGCAGTGGAAGGAGGGACATCGTCTTCAAGCATCACCTCGGTCTGGTCTATGTCCTGGACTTCATCAAATTGGCCCTCGGGGGCTAAGGGCTCCACCTGCTCAGCGAAGTCCATCGTGTCAGCCATGTTCCGGGCCAGAGGCGGTCCACTGGTCTCCAGTAGTGGTCGTCTAGATGATGGGCGCTCCTCCTCGAACTGGTCCGACTTAGGACGAGGGTAGTTGGAGAACAACTCGTTGAGGTACCGCTGGACAGCCTCGATAGAGACTCCCCTTGCCTTGTTCCTCCTCACCCCCTCATGAAGACGAATGAGGAACTCCACCGAGTAGTCCGTCCACCGGCTGAGGTCCTTCCTAGTATCTGATCATCTCAGCGTTGTCGGTCAATGAAGGGGTCCAATAGAAGTACTCACAAACGAGCGGATTGAGGTAGGTAGCGAGTAAGTTCTCGAGCTCGTCTATGGTCGCGACCAGCTCTGTCGGGGACAGTACGAAGAGGCCATCAAAGTCATCGAAGAAACCCGGCACCGATGGGTATTTCCCCAAAAACGGGCCGTGTTTGTCCAAGACTCGAGGGAATGGGCTCGGCAACCCATCCTGATCAAAGGGAGGCATACGGCCTGGCCCAGAAGGGACCTTACCGGCCGTGGAGGTATCTCTATGTTGGGGCCACCCTGTCCAGATGGCTCTGACCCTCCTCCAGCCACCTGAAGGACATGTTTGGTTTCCTCAACTAAGCTCGAGAGGTTCCTCACTGATGATGGATATTTATATACGAATTGGGGTAGAAGTGTACAGAAACCAGAGAGGATTTCCCGAAATTTCCTCACAATTTTCATATCGTCACCAACACATGTAGCTGATCATGTGCATATCTCCCACACTGCTTTGATGGCCCCACCTCATCGATGTGGACCCGCTCCGACGGTTCCAAGAGGTCGTCGATGCAGAACATGCTGATCCGGCCCATCATTCGGACCGTGGCCGCCTCCCGGTCCTCCCAGGGGCATTTCTCTGGCCACTGGCCCTCGGACTTGACCACACCACTCGAGGGCATGTCCTGGGAGAGATCTATGACCCCATCGCTTTCGCGCCTGGAGAGCGAGGCCCGCTTTCCCCCGTCTGGGTCGAGGAGCTCCTCGGGGACTTCGTGGAGGATATTGAGCAACCTTTCCTTCTCCAACTGGAGCCTGACAGGGCAGCAGCGTCAAACATGACCGCGCGCCATAAAATGACCGGCCCACGTTGCAATTTTTCTATCGGCCGTGACTATCCTTCGTCTCAAGAGCTCGACCTCCGCGGAAGTCCAGGGGGCACCAGCCTTGGGCTTGAAGTACTTGGTGATATCGTCTTGGTCCATGTCCAACTCGTCGAGACATCTCGGCAGCCCTCGAGTCTTCCGCCTGGTGGTAGTGGGGGCCGGCTTCTTGCGAGGGGGCATCAGTGACCAACACCCACACTGTAGGGCTTCAGAAAAATATAAACAAAAACTTACATGTGTATGAATATTTTTAGCACTCCCAATGGGTCTAAGCGAAACCAGGTTCCCAACCGACCGACCCAACCACGCGGGTACCAGAATGATATTGAGAAACTCTATTGAGCAGTGGCAACAGGATGAAATATTCAAAAACTGTGTAACATTGTTATCATGCTTGATGCCGACGGAGGCCATCCGAGCCGCTAGCAGCAGCAGCAGCAGGACCGGTCTCAGACCCATCGTCCTCGGACCCAGACTCACCGACTCTATTCAGCTGACCTAGATCAAGTCGGGCGTTCCGGAGATGGTGGCCCGAACCTCCGCCGTGACCTGCTGACCAGGGCGGGGAGATGTATCACACAGAGGACCGGCAGCGCCCACCTCTGAGCAATTCAGCCACGGGGGCCGGCCTACCCTCGGCCACGCTACCCAGACTGTCCCCGAGGGTCCTATGGCCCAAAGAGGAGGACAGAGAGCTCCTAAGGTGAGGTCCCATCACAGAGGAAGACTGTGAGCCCAAGGCAAAAAGGGACGGATAACGCCTGCAGAGGGCAAAGGACATCTCAGTGGTGCAAGGCCAGGAGTCGTACTGTTCATGGTAGAAAGGCGACTCGGGCATGGCTCGATCGGTCGGGCTCATGTCCAAGGACCTCGCCCTAAAGTCATCAGTGTCTCCGTCGCTACCTGAATGGGCATGGTCCCAAGATACGCATTGAATTTCGGACCGATATCAATTGTTAGATTTTCCTCGTCCCCCTCACTGGCCTGTGGCTGGTAGCTTGGCACCCTTATAGACGCTGAGGAAAGGCACTCCGGATATCCCTATTCTGCTGAATCGACAGCCTCAAAACCGGTGACCACCCCAACGAACAGATCCACTACGACATCGAAATGCTTACATCTGGAGGGCCTCTCCGTGACAGTCTCAGCGTAGTCGCTAGTGGGGGAGGAGGGCTCCTCGTGAGGGTACCGGCCCAAGGCTTGGTCGAACCCTGATAACAGGAAGTGGCAATGACCAAACTGAATCTTTCTGGTGGGCCAACGCATCCCCATTGGATCAAAACTGCCTATCTGGACCGACTTTCGTTCACAAGCTGCGGGACTTTCTGGACTTCAGCCAACAGCGTATCGTTGCTAAGGACGTGAGGGGAAAAATGAATCCAATTCTCGTTGACCAAGGAAGGCCTCCACGGGCAGGCACACCGGACCTAATGCAAACGACCAAGGTTCGATCCCACCATCGGTCATTTTCTCTCTACCCAATGGTAATTGTCAGAGATGAGCCCGGTAGTCGGGTTCCGTCTCGAGTAGTGGATCACCATGCCGTTGTAGATCTGAAGGGACGTGGTGATGAGACTACTCCTATCACAGGGGCAATGCAAGTGGACTAAAGGATCTACATAAGGATACATACCGATGTCAGAGACCCACCCAGTTTTAAGAAGTAACCTTCCCGAGGGTATGATAACAATAGGTGAATCGTTCCCAGTGTGATGACATTTACATGGGAAGGTGTTCTCAGCCATTACGAGTTCCCCATCGCGGGAATATTATAGGTTCCTGGATGATTTCCGGATCGATATAGTTGATATTAGACCCCTGACTAACAAGGCTTATATACAATAAGGATATATCTTCAATTAATAATATGTTAACATAGTAAACTATATTGTTATTATACACGGAATGTAGATATTCATAAAACGTATATAACCTTATTACACTACTTATACGAGTACCTAGATAGTCTATATGAATATATTATTGATCGAATATACTTTTGAGTTTAACATGCAGTGGCATAACACTTCATGTAAATTCAACACGTGTTTGTCCTCGCGACCGACAACACAATGGTTTTCCACAGTGGTAGTCGTGAAATATGACATTTTTCACTAGTGTTTCACACATCATTGTGAAACTCCACTATATACCCTTATATGGTAATCTATATCCAAAAATCCACTACAGGTGTCCACTTTTGTATCATTAGTGCGAAGGTGCCGAAATTCAACGGTTATCGAGGATCGCCAAGCAGAGACTAAACTATAGCACTTTGGAAGAGGAGATGCCCGGTGGTGGAAGAATGGGGGCACCAACGGTCATTAGTGTACAACGATGTGACGATGGTGTGGTATGGTTGGAATACCTTAAAAGTCGGTTCATGAGGATGGACTCTCCTCCGGCGAGATCGGCTCCTATGGACTTCGAAGCCCTCACTGAAGTCAGCTGAAACATAACGTAACCACTAGCCAAAGCCCAGCCGTCCTACTCTGTCGTTTCCTCTCCACCAGGGCCCTGAAGGCCTTGATGACCCCACCGTGGCACACTATGATGACCCTCAGTCCAGCACTCCCTTTTTGAAGGTGTTTGATCACACTCTCGACCCTCAGACACAGATTAGCGATACCTTTCCGGACGATTATCATCGAGATTCCGGTACAGTCCTAAAGCTACTTTCCCCTCCACTGGGCTGGAAGTAGAAACTATCCCGGTCCTGTCGTTCTATCTCATCTGCATGCTCTCTTCGTCGTTCCTGCTTGGACTTGTTGGCCAACACCCCACGGTCACGTTCTCTGAATAAGAATAGACTTGCCTCCCCGCTGCTGGATTGACCGCCACTGAATGGAGAGGCCTCGTGTGGATTCGAACCTTAGGAAGAATTCGGTCCTCCACTCCGCCTCCTGAATGTGAAGATATGCGGCGGTCTCCATCGCTCTTATGTACTCGCTAGTGAGACAAATGTCAAAGGCCTCCCCTGGACGTGGTACTCTGGTCTACCACTCGCAAAAAGTCCCTACCAATGTGGTCCTTGATCCACTCCCCCGCGGCCTCGGCCTGGGCCCTACCCCTGTCAGTTAGACGGTACTTGGAGTTATGACGAGCCCGGAAGCCGCTGGTCCACGGGTTGGGAACACCGCCTTGTTGGGCCTAGTGGGGACACTGATATACCTATGCTCCACCTCCATACCATCTTCTGAGCTAGATTCCCTTCACTTTCTCCGTGACGAACAAGGATTAGGTCAACGGGCATGTTCTTGTAAGCGAGCCGCCACGAGGCCATCGGTAAAGGGAGGGAGGTAAGGGAACTAAACCAACTCTGGGAAGGATATTTCCACATGTTGATGCAGTGGTAGATTCTGAATCGCCATATCCAATGCCACTAATGAGCACGTCTCACTTTTCCGTATCGATTTGACGACGCTCGTGAACACCACAACTCTGGTGGGGAACCATGATGGATATCATGCTAGGCTGCCTCACGAAGGGCCATCTTTATGGTATCGATGTTGGACTCGAGGACCAGACCACCCATGACCACCTCATCCAGGACGTAATTGGCCTGGCTGCTGATGCTGCTGGAGATGACTGTCATTAATGCAGTACTACCTTATCGAAGTGATAGACCAAGTCGAGCTCACAAACACTGTCGAACGCGGTGTCCAGGGCCTACAATAATTATTGCTGAGGAAGGGGCCCAATATAATCAATAGTGATAGAAATAAGTTGAATCAGAGGCCAATGCCGTTTCTATTGGAATAACAACAGTGATGAACCACCTGGGGCTTCAGCCGAGGGTGTCCCCTCCGCCGTTATTCGTACTGTGCTAGAGATACAGCTCCATATGGGTGACAACAGGCACAGATTCCAACAAGTTCCCCTCCTATCAGAATAACTACAGTGATGATCTTCCGTATAACACGAATGCACTAACCCCCCAAAATGTCCGCTCCTCCGCCACTATTCGTACTGTGCTAGAGAAAGTTCCACGAGGTAGCCAACGGGCGCAAATCGCAATGAGTGTCACCTGGACAAAGACTTGTATAAGGTCAAGGGTGGCCAGATCGCTTTCGGTGTGGTCAACGATGAAGGCAAAGTAGAGGGTTGCGAAGTGCCTGGGGATCCAAGAGTTTCAAAGCTCCCTACCATGCCCCACCAGGAGGACCTATAGACGATCCTGAGATTTTTGGGCGCTGAGTTTCTCCCATCACACAGTTCAGGTAGATCCTCCGGGACCACACAACAGCAGTGGTCATCTGCTCTGAGATTAAAATAAGCAATAACGTACTTAATGGTAATAATATCAGTTGAGCCCATGGTTTTTGCAGTAGCGGTAGCGAAACCAGTTATGGAAAACCTCGCGAGGTGTGGCCCTCCAACCACTAGGAACCCCCAGGAGACAAGCTCAGAACGCCTATAGACCCTGTCTCTACTAGCCACCTCTCAGAAAGGATTAGTATTTCTTGCCACAACATGAACAAGTAAATACTTTTGGCGCCCTCGGGACAAATCTAGGGAGGCCGTGGTACCGGTAAGGATATGAGTACAGAGTCACAATTCTGGCAATTCTAATCAGGGTAACTTACGCAAAGGAATATAATATCAGTGTCACCATGCTACGAATAGAGTGTCACCATTACCTCCCTCTGAGTACACCATAAACCCTGTCAATGAGGCCTTGGCGTCTCGGGAGAGGCAAGGCAGTGTAGAACCTTGCCAGCCTCGTCTTACCGCTATTATTGAAGACCAGGACGGCGTGTATCATTAAAACACAATAATACGCCCTAAGCTCAATTGAAGGCAACAACTCGAGACACTAAAGTACTATGGAAATGGTAGTAATGGTGACACGATGGTCATAAGAGCTGCCCTTCCCGTCCAGCGGTCTGGTAGCTACCTTCAAGGGCGGCTAACGCTATCTCGACCTGAGAGCCCAGAAAAAGTAATGGCGACCACATTGGCGATATTGGACCTGGTCCCGGGCCCATTTGGCCTCTTCCTTGGTCTCAGCCTCCAGTAGTGGCATTTGACGCAATGTTGAATGGACTCCTAGCTCGACCAGTCGGAGGATCAAGTCGCCCCCACCACTCCATGTCGCGGTCAGTTCAGTGACCACTAAGGGAAGAAGGATGACCATGACCCGAGGGGCACAGGCGTACCATAGGCGAATCGGCCCAGTCGGATCTCTGTATTGACCTTGGTGTCGAGCAGGACCCGTAGGTCTCTGGCCATGGCGGTCCACAGGTCCACATTATCAGTGACGGTCTCTACCGAGAACAGGGCTTCTAGCAGCTCCAGACAGGGCAGGTGGTCCGGACCGTGGTAGAGGAAGGAGCTCAGCAGGCAACTTATGGTACAGTCTCGGAGGGGCTGGAGATAGAAAAATTGATGGATGCCCACGGGTTTCAAATAGGAGCTAAAATGACCGCGCGCCACGGAATTCCACAAGCCCTACATCATCAACACCATCGTCCCCTTGCTTGCTGATCCAATCAGTCATCAGTTCAGCAGTGTCCCTCATCAACGTCTCGTCCCCTCCCTTCGCTGGTCCCCTCATGCAGTGGTCCGCCAGTATAGGCGCAAAGCGTCGGCTCAGAAGGGAGGGCCTGGGCCAAGGCATTCCGAACCAGCGAGGGCCTCCAGTGTACTACCGCCTAGGGTCCTCTCTTTGCTCCTCCATCGCATTTAGGAGGGCCACTGCTTTCAACCGGACCTTATCAGCCGCCCCAGAGGCCTCCAGAATCGCCGCTAAAGTGTCTGAAAAAGCTCATCTGAGTGAGCTTAGTATCAGCTCCCGACAATGTCCAATGTTGGAATATATTTCGCTGCTGAATCTTTGGAATTTTTCTCATTAATTGTAGAAGTTCACATGCAAGTTCAGGTGGGAGTGTATAAAAACAAAGAGAATTCTTCTCACATTCATTGTCCCCAAACATATGTAGTTGACCATGTGCATATTTTCCCATACTTCTAATTTCACTTCCTTCAAGGTCCCTCCAAAAGGGTAATACTATTAGAACAAGTACCTCCCACTACAGAGTCCACCCGTCTCCATTTACCTTCCAAGGCCTTATCTCGATAGTGATAGCCGCTATTATCAATCTTCTGTCTCAGCGCGATGAGCCCTCGCTCTTCCTCGTCCTCAGTCCCCTGCATTCGCCCCAAATACGCCACTACCTCCTCCACTGAGGCCTCGTGGAGCTCAGCTGCGGTGAGTGGTCGGGCTGGATGGGCATCTTCCGGCGGGCCCTCCTCGCTCTCCAATTTCCGCTGTTGGGCCCTCAGCAGGCTGACCTCCTTCCGCTGCAACTCCAACAGGTACCGGCCCAGAGCGGGGCCTTCCAAACCACGGTACGATATGGTCCCCGAGCCAGCCTTGGAAGCGGTCTCGAGAGCTGCCTAGACAATAAGTCCACCTAGGACAGATGGAAGGACCTACTTTGACCTTCGCCATCTCGTGGTGGAGCTCATCTAATTTAGATTGGTCGATCTCCACTTCCGTAATGGTACAATGAAAACTCTAACTGAGAACCACAATGAACCCCATCCCGCTGTAAGAGCAAGCTCTGCTCCCCCCGATATCATCCCTAGCAATACTAGTATCACTACCCACACTACCAACTGAGTTGACGAGAAAAGCACACACACTTCCATTTGATAACACATGAAACTATTATTATCAGCTTGTGGAGTGGTCTCGAGGAAATCCCTGTGGAAGTCTCACTCATCGGCCTTCCCAGCATGAGACTCACGGCTGGGATCAGACCTAGACCTTCCCATGGCAACTCAGTACACTCTCTCTCCTAATGGACCGACCTGTTCCAGTTAACACACCATCATATCGGAGGAATTCTCTCTTAGAAAGTCCCCGTTGAGAGGATCTTCCAACCTCAGGGGTTCAGAGTAGTTTATACAAACTCGGATCTCAGGCAGACGTTCATATCGATGCACGCTATCACCACACTGAGTGCATGCGTGCTGTACCCACTGGAAGCAATAGGGTCAACTTTGAGGAGTCTATCACATCGGTCAATAGGCCCACCTCACTCTGAAAGCAACACTGTGCCCGAACACGCCTCCTATCCGACCAATACCATCTACGTGACTCTGAGCCAGAGTCCCTTATCGTCATTCACCCTCCCTCCCTTTGAAGCCGTATCGTATCCCGAGAATGCCGTTTCACGAATAAAGACTGCGCTTGGGCATAGCAGGTAATCCCCGGGTTATAGACACCCGCACGCCCATATACCATCTCAGGGCTGCTCAGTGAGCAGCCTCAAATGAGCAGTGCTCACCTTACTCTTCTAAGCCTAATTCTGATCACATAGAACTCTTGTTTGCTCATTGGTCGCAGCAAGTACAAGGAAGACAGCTTCATCTCTTCCGAGTCCTCCTAGGACCCCCCGAGATTCTACCATAAAATCAAGGGGACCATCTCGACCACCTCCCATTTCCGAGGGCAAACATATATTCCTGGAATACTGATGACTTCACGTAGGATGACGATGTGGATGTGAATTCCACGAGTACGGAAAACGCTAGTTTAGGAGCATATGGGGTGAACCTGAAATAGCAAACTCACCCCTACCTATCAAACCTATCCTCAACAACATTGCTCAAGTCCACAGAGGTCTCACGCCGGTCCAGCACTCGACGATCTATAGAGGAGTCAGCGTCCGTTAACCACTGCGTGCGTGGAGTACTGTGGGCAGTGAAAGTCTTCCTTCAACATCGATAATATCCCTTCCATCACTGTCCTTCCAACCACTGGGCATTGATCAACACATCTCGGAACTATACTGCATGAAAACAACAATCACTTCATGCGTTTACATTTGGCGAACAGATCCAACAGCGGTCTGACGTCGGACCGCTTCAAAAGCCCCTCCTGTAGGACCACCTCTGCCACCCTTAACTAAAGTGTACACCATAGGAATCCCAATGCAATATTTACTTCTCTATCTCCCTGAGGGTGTCTTCCAGACGTGGCAGAAAACGGTGCAGGTCGCATTGGAAATCCTCAGAGTCGGCCAGCATCGAGAGACCCTCCATCCCCACCGCCTAGTCACTTGAATGGTCAAGGTCACGGCCCCAGCAATGCCACATACTTGGGTGGAACAACCACACGGCCACCAGAAGACATTCCTTGTGCATGAGATGACCGAGTTAGCCGAGCCTCACCTTGAGGTCATGCGTGCACTCCTTGTACGCGAGGTAGCGGAGTATGCCAGAGATGAGGCCATTGTCTCGCATACTTTCCAACACCGCCTTAGCGCTCAGCTTCTCACTATGCTTCATAATACAGCGAAAATAGTGGATAACAAGAGCCTCCTGTAACCAACACCAGTGTGGGAAATCATGCACATGACCAACTGCATGTGTTGGTGACAATTCGAAAATTGTGAGAGGAAATTCGGAAAAATTGTTATTGGTTTCTGCAAACCTTTACCCGAATTTGTATGTAAACTCCTATGGGTGAGGAAACACCCGAGCTCAGTTGAGGAAAGCGAACATATATTCCAATACTGACCAACACCAGGGTAACCTCAACCGACTCTGCCCTACTACCTGCCGTCTAATATGCTTGACTTCGAGGTCTCGCTCGCCCACTTGGTCCAACACTGTCTAAACCACATCCACTGACCGAGACCAGTTCCGAAGAGACTCACAGTGCAATGACCTATGAGGAGGGGCAGGTCCACCAACTGCAGTGCTTCCACGTGGACAAGACACTTCCACAACAGCAACCCCACACTCTCCTCAAACGTGTTCTAACACACTACAGTTTCTGTGACCATCACAACAGTAGTCCCACCACTTTATTCACCAAAGACTGTGACAGAGCCTGAGGATCGACCACACGGTGACCATCAAGACCACCTCTCCCTTTCGCAGTGTCCATTACAGCGTCTTCAAGGCGATGCGAGTTGGCGTATTGCCAGACCTAAATCGATCGATGCCAGCCACCCACACTAGTCCAGCACTTTATAGTCGTTCAGCATCCGTAAGCTGAGGTTAACTTTATTCTCCTCCATCAGAAGCCTGCATCATCAGTTCGCTATTATCAAACCCAGAATCCTCCTCAATCACCTGACCGCATCTTCTTCTGTGTCTTGATCCCACAGTGTACCACCATCATCCAGCCGACCCAACACCTACAGACCCTCTCGGAGGTGTCACCATCCCTTGTGTCACCACCTTGGCCCTCCCCTTCCCTCGCGAAGCACTAGCCTCCAACATCGCCAACCGCGCCAATTGTTCCATCGTGTCTGTCAAGTCGATCCACCGCCTCGACAACACGGGACACCTACCACTAAGCACTGCCGCCACAGCAACACTCCCAAGAGACTACATAGCAATTTCTTTCACACACTCATGAGCAATTTTAGTCCTCTCTCGATTCGACTCGGACTTCAGATCTTCTGCCACACTCTTCGCATCTACCCCACTACTATACTAAGGTACTGTCGCTGTATCATGTACCTCGACCTCTTACATACTTAGAGGCGCTAAGTCGTGCGGTGCCCTTCCCTGACATTTCTACTGTTACCAGATACTACACTACTTTCACAAACTCCTACACGGCACATTCTGACGCTATAGAAACTAAGACCTTCAACTCGTAGAGGTAACACACAAATGCCCATAAAATTTGAACTACAAATGAGAACCTAGCCGTTCCCAACGAGCCTCCGACAAATCATATCCAATCCTTCTCAATCTAATACAGTGACTTTAACACAAGACAACTTGGACTTCTGAAATTGGTGTCTCTGAGGTGTATGTGGTGACAACTCCAGCAGTCTGAACCGTCGATGATGACTACTGTCCTCCAACCCACGATGCTTAAACATTCAATACCACCCTACATACTTCAAAGATAGTAGTAGCAGATGGAAACGACAAAAGCAATAATACTACCAGTACTACAACTAACAGCAGCGCGTATTTCTACGACTCGAGTACTACTTATAGTTATTCTCGGCACTACGTATAGCCAACCCGATCAAAACATCTAAGGGAAAGTTAGTCGACCTCCTCCATCTTAGACGCCTCATCAGCAGCCTGGGCATCAACCTCCTCGAGAGGGGGAAGATCCTCATCATCAGACTCGGCCTCCTCGTCATCCTCATCAATCGAAAGACCAAGCTTGATCATACGATGGATGCGACTGGCGAACTGAGTGGGATCATCAAGGCTGAAGCCAGAGGTAAGAAGAGAAGTATCAAACAGCAACCAGATGAGATCCTTCACGGTCTTGTCGGACTTATCGGCAGCAGCCTTCTTCTTCAGCTCGACCATGATGGCGTTCTTGGGGTTGACCTCCATAGTCTTCTTCGACACCATGTAGCTAGTCATAGAGCTATCCCGAAGGGCCTGAGCCTTCATGATACGCTCCATATTGGCGGTCCAGCCGTACTCGGAGGTGGTCAACACGCAAGGAGACTCCGACACACGCTGAGAGACGATGACCTTCTCAACCTTGTCGCCCAAGACCTCCTTAACGAGCTTGCAGAGAGGCTCGAAGTCAGCCTTCTCCTCTTCGAAAGCCTTCTTCTCCTCGTCAGACTCATTGAGATCGAGATCACCCTCCTTAGTGATGGACTTCAGCTTGTGACCGTTGAACTCACGGAGCTGCTGCACGGCGTACTCATCAATAGGATCAACCAAATAGAGGACCTCATAACCCTTCTTGCGAAGAGTCTCGATAAAGGGACTTGAGGACACGGCAGCGATACTCTCACCAGTGATGTAATAGATATCCTTCTGACCCTCCTTCATGCGGTCAACATACTCCTGGAAGGACACCATATCCTCACCAGACTTGGAAGACTTGAACCTCAGCAACTCGGCGATCTTCTCACGGTTAGTGCTGTCCTCGTGGATGCCCAACTTGATGTTCTTGGAGAACTGCTCGTAGAAGATCTTGTAATCATCAGGCTTCTCGGTGGCCATCTCCTCGAACAACTGCAAACACTTCTTCACCAAGTTCTTCTTGATGACACGAAGGATCTTGTTCTGCTGAAGGGTCTCACGGGAGATGTTCAAAGGAAGATCCTCGGAGTCGACAACACCCTTGATGAAGGACAACCAGTCGGGCATGAGCTCCTCACAGTCATCAGTGATGAAGACACGGCGGACGTACAACTTAATATTGTTGCGCTTCTTGGTGTTCTCGAACAAGTCGAAGGGGGCACGACGTGGCACAAACAGGAGAGCCTTGAACTCGAGCTGACCCTCAACAGCGAAGTGCTTGACAGCCAGATGATCCTCCCAATCGTTAGTAAGAGACTTGTAGAAGGAAGCATACTCCTCGTTGGTCACATCCTCAGGCTTGCGCATCCAGATCGGCTTGGTCTTGTTTAATTGCTCCCAATCGTGAGTGACCTCCTTGACCTTCTTGGTCTTCTTCTTCTTATCACCCTCCTCCTCGCCTTCCTTCTTCTCCTCATCGTCCTCGACCTCCTCAATCTTGGGCTCCTCCGACTCGTCCTTCTTCTCGTCATCCTTCTTCTCCTTATCCTCCTCCTCGTCTTCGGAGTCGGTCACCTCCTTCTCAGTAGATTTCTCGACGTAGAGCTCAATGGGGAAGCCAATGAACTGAGAGTGCTTCTTGACCAAATCCTTCAGACGACGCTCCTCAAGGAACTCGGTCTGATCCTCCTTGAGATAAAGGATGACCTTAGTACCACGCTTGATGTGACCATCAGCAAACTCGGTATCCTTGGTGACACTGAAGGAACCGCCAGCGGCAGATTCCCAGATGTACTGATCGTCATCGTTGGACTTCGAGACAACACGGACCTTGTCAGCAACGAGGTAGGCGGAGTAGAAACCAACACCGAACTGGCCGATCATAGAGATGTCACCACCGGCCTGAATGGCCTCCATGAAGGCCTTGGTACCAGACTTGGCGATGGTTCCCAAGTTGTTGATCATCTCAGTCTTAGTGAGACCAATTCCTGTATCCTCAACAGTGAGAGTTCCGTTGGTCTTATCGGGGATGATCTTAATTTTGAACTCGGGCTCCTAAAGAAAACAAACATGACAAATGCAACAAAAAGGACCCTTTCACTTACATTCTCGATCTTCTCGGGATCAGTGATGGACTCGAATCGAATCTTGTCCAATGCATCGGAGGCATTGGAGATGAGCTCACGAAGGAAGACCTCCTTGTTGCCTGACCAAGAAACGATCCAAGACAGAATCGACCCAACGATGAACAACTTACTGTAGAAGGTGTTGATGATAAGACTCATCAACTGCTGAATATCAGCGTTGAATGCAAAGGTTTCTGTGGACATCGTAGTAGTAGGCTGCCAGTAGAGGGGCAATACAGAGCACTGAAATTAAAATGGATAGTAAGAGAACCGACCAGGCGAATTCGCTGTAGGCTTGTGCAACTCATCACGGGCGAGCGAGATCACACCATTCTTCTCTGTCGGGAGCTCAAGATATGAGTCGGTTCGATATTGCGCTGTACACGCTGACGGTTTCATTCGGTATCTTCGCGTATCCTTGCGAGTGAGGCTTCTGAGCGCACAGTGAAGGTTTTGTAGATCTCCAGCTAAGCGAGACCCCTTTCGAGTTTCCGCTACAACTTCCCGCCTTGGGCTCAAGCCCCAGCAACGTGTGGCGTTTATGGCCCTTACAAGTGGTCGCCGATGCGTATTTGTTCAAGTTCTCGTTCGGGTTGAATCCGACCCGATCTTCTGATGCAAAAATGGTTAATTGGGTTTGGCAAGGATCCTTCTCACGCTTATCAGCTCTAATGGCAGAGTTTCCCACCAACGCTGCGCCTTTACCAGATCTATCAGACCTTTGGGGAGCCTCGTCCGGCAGTCACGAGCCAGTAGGGGCGCCGCACTCAGGTGGGGAAGCGGACGAGCCGAGACCGGCCCCTCTCGGAAGTCTGGACTCGATATTCGCGGGGAAGGGGTCAACGACCCGTGATGGTCCAGAGGCGGTGGGTCTCCCCCAGGAAAATCCTACACCGGTAGTTGCCCCACCAGAGGCTACCGTCGCGGTACCAGCTGAGCCCGTGCCGAACAAGCATGATGGTCTTGGAGCTCGAGAATCAGTAGTGGCGACTCTGGTGCCGCCGTCCCAGGATTATGGTCCGATGGTAGAAAAGAGACCACTAGTGGTGGTCCAACCACCGGTTGGGGAAGGTGATACGGTGAACGAAGCACTGCCGGCAGAGGACCATGGTCTGGTGGTTCGGCAATCAGTAGTAACTGCCGAGGCGGGGCCGGCTGAGGACGGTGACCGAAGGGTGGTCGGGGCCACTGCGGGGAAGAAAGGTCCAGTGCCAGTGGCCGAAACCGTTGTGGCAGAGGATGTAGGTCCGGTCACAAGGGGCAGATCAGCAACAGTAGGCCACTCCGCGATGCCCAAGATCGACGCCACGGGCCCCCGGCAAGAGAAACCCTCATACGGTGCGAATGAATCGCTCACCTCCCGTTCGCTGATTGTATCTTCTGGCCCATTCGAGGCCGGAAGCAGTTGTACCAGTATTTCCAAGTACGACCGTGTCCCAAGACTTCATGGGGCCACACATAGGACCATAGGAGGTCCAGAGGAGGAGTCTTGGGGGGCCATGGACATTTCTATGTGCAATATCGTCAAACACAAGGTGGTGGTCAGCTACGGTCAGCTCTGGTAGATCTGGCCTCTCAGACCCAGCGGACCTACTTTTCCAGCGGCGCCGTTCCTCATAGGCACCAACATCTGATTCGGAAGGTGGTCCTCTAGGTTTGGTCAACAATTTTGCAACCTACTTTTTTCAGGAGCATCGAGACGCGGCACGGCGGATCATGCGGGCGTACAAGTCGGAATCAACAAGGTGGAAATTCGTCATGGTAAACTTGTCATAGAAGTTGCCCAGGTCTCGATATGACGACGCTCAATCAAGTGCCAGGTGGAGCCATGCAGGGGAGCGGGAAGGTGATGGTGGTAGGAGCCATTCAAGGACACCATGGTTCTTCAGGTCTACTGGCCGAGCGAGCTCGTCTCCGATCGAGAGTTTCAGAGCTCACCAGGAGTGGCGATCAGCTGAGGACAGCTTTGAAGAGATCCGTCGAGTTGCTGTGGCTGAAGGATGCTGAGATCAAGTCCTTGCGGGCGGTCCTGGACGGTAATGTGCCCCCCTACCCAGAGGCCTAGAGATGTCATGAGCCCCATGTCGGGCATTGTGCTGTCCTTAGTCTCAGTGGCCTTGCGTTGTTACAATAGTAAACTATAATATTCTTAGCACTTGGTTGCGGCGGCGCCTCGAGCACACCATATGTCGCCTTCTAAGGCTTCCCCCGAATGGACCGTGAATGGGGAAGGTGGCGTTGAGGGCTGAGTCCCTGGTCCAGGAAAATATGAGAGTGGAACAAGCAAGGACCCTAGCAAGATTCCATGTGGTCCCGGTCTGGAATAGCAACTCTTCTTGGCCATGTTCTGCTGGAACTGCTTCCGTCAAGAAGCGAAAAAGTGGTATCAATAGGCTCAGTCGCCCACACTGATGTGGTCTTAGAGACCGGATCATCCTCGTGCGACCTTTTCAGTCACGACCATACTTCTAAACTAACTTTAGTTTAGCATATGTGGAATTCAGAGCATTCCAAGGCTGTTTGATATCACAATGCAGCTCCTTGGAGACAGCGTTGTGTAAGTCACGGTCGCAGTGCCATGATCCGGGTTCGATCCCCGGCCACCGCATCTCTGGTCAGATATAAGGTCGATGGACCCTCTCAGACTCGCCTCGCTTTACTACTGCGAGGCCTACGAGTTCAGAGTTAGAGAGCTCGGAGCGTATTTTCTTGGAGAAGTCGATTTCCCGAGAGCTTGGACCGAGTCCCCTACTCCGAATTCAAGGGGCAACGAGCCTATTTCTAGTAGGGTTTCCTACTCGAATCCTTAGGAGTGTCCTACTCCACTGCGAAGGTTATCTGCCGCGGTCATGCTCTACTAAGGAATGATCTCGGTGGTCCAGCATAGATGATAGCGACAATAATGACATGTGAATAGTACACTCATGCAATTTCGAATGATACACGTGCTCAGCGTTGACTTGTCAATATCATACCATCAACAGGATCAATACAGGGACTTCGATCGAGTACAGTGAACCTAGGCTCACCAGTGTGGTGCAGGAGGCTCCCTCACTGTAGACCAACCACAATGGCCCGAGTTACGACGTGTTAGTTGTACATCAGTGGTATAGTTCGAACTAGTTCAATGACTACAGCTGACCTAGCAGAAGGGGGCCGCGGGTGGTCCGGTCAGCCAGGTTGCGATGACAAGGCAGTAGTGTTACTCATGCTACGATATTTGTGAGTGAATACTGCAGTTTGAAAGGCGGTGTGGGGGAATATGCATATGATCGACTACATGTGTCGGTGACTATATGGAAGTTCTGGGAAATTATTGTTGGTTTCTGAGCACTTCTACCCTAATTCGTATATAAACTGCCAAGTTCAGCCGAGGAAAGCCACCATATATTCCCATACTGTTGATAAGGGGGTCAGAAATCGCTCTTCACGCTGATAGGCACGACCACGGGCTGTACTCGGCCATGCAAGCCCTAGAGTCCGAGACCAATACAAACCTTTGCGTTCCCCATGCTAATGATGCCGTAAGTCAACACTTACCGTCGGCTCGGAGTGAACCGTCCTTAGGTTGAGTACTTCCGTTCGGTGGTCATGGCTGGGCGTTGGGATGACCTGTTGAGACTCGTGAGGAAGTTGTAGGTAGCTGCCATGGGATGCCACAGAGCGACCAAGGCCAGGTACTCGTCCACTTCGACGGCAGAGCAGGAAGCTGCACAGTTCAGAGTACATAGACAAGTAGGGCCACTCGGTGGACCGCACCGAAGGCGTGTCGCTCAGGAGTTTCTGGAGCTCCTATTTCTCACTGAGGAAGACGAGAAGGTCCGTGAGGGAGCTGATGGACCAATTCATGAGAAAGCAGTTGGTCTTGGGAGTTGAATGGAGACCAGCGCTGCTATTTTGGTTGCTTCGATTTTAGTTGGTCCGGGACATGGTCCAAGTGCTAGAGAAAATACAACCTCTGTGTTCTGAGGCTGAGTGGGTCTACCTAGAATAGATAGATCCTAGTCTGGACCACAGATACGCTGAGCTGCATGAGACGCTAACTGTCCCGACGCTAGACAAGTATCGGCAGGAGTGGCACGGCCGGGCTGGGGGACGGTGGGAGCGACTCACGGTCATGAAGTCGTGACAAGCAGCATCTAGGTACGGACTATGGCGCAGTTACGTACCTAGGCTTATGGAGGTGTACGGCACTGAGGGTTGGACAGAAGAAGACTGTGAGGAAGGGTTTTGTCAATGGACCATGCTGGGGTCAGGTGGGATGCTCGTCCCTGAGGGCTGCACTGGAGAGGATACTCTTGACGACCTCATTGGTCGAGGCCTCAGCCATGAGTACTCCCCCACCATCACAGTGAGGCACCGCAGCACTACGCTCGTGTAGTCGGTGCCAGGCCACCGGTAGTCCCGGGTCACCAAGTGTTCCTCTATCACTGGCTAGAGACGTGGACCAAGCTGAGGTTGGACTCGACAGTGTATACACTGAAGACTGTACTGGTTAGGCACCAGGCCAGCCAGTGAACGGTCAGCGTGTTGGTCCACCTCCGAGTCCAGGCCCAAGGGAAGACCGGCCCATCCTCACCCCTGTGGAGGCTCATGAGTCACCCGACACGAACTCCAGAAGTTAGTCTTGCTGTGGTCTCGGTGTACTATAGTACTCATGGAACAGATCAGAGCGAGGGTAAGCCAGTGGTATTCCCTAAGGGGGTAAGGATCGACATTCCATGGGAGCCCGAGCCGGCTAGAAGGACCTCCGGCCACTCGGACGAGAGAGAGTCAGTGAGGGACAGCCGACAGGTGGTTACCTTACTCGTGGGCTCGCAGATTGTGGAGATCTAGGTTTCTGTTGGGTCGACGACTGCGTGGCAGTGGGGCTCATCAGAAAGGCAAACGAATATCAGCCGGACTGTCGCGGACTCCATTGGTGAGACGATTTGGTTATGTTGGTCAAGGAGTGGTCAGTCGGTGCATTACAGGGCCACGTATGGGAACCCCCACAGGAAGCAGTAGTGGTCAGGTAAGCACCTTCCCTCGACTGAGCTCATTCCTCGTTATGAAAATTCGCACCCGAATTGGTGGAGAAGTGCAAAAAAACCAACAAGAAATTTCCCGAAACCTCTGTTATTTTCGTCATTGTTACAACACATGTTGTTTACTACGCGGATGTTCCCACACTGGCCAGGCCCATCATCGATCCTCTCCAAGCCTTCACGGTACACCCCCCAGACCACCGACCCCCGAAGCGAAGGAGCGACGCCGTTCAGGCGAACAGAGAGGTAGAGGGCCTCTGCGGTGGTTCTCGAGGATACTAGCTGGATCCAGATTTGGGTCTACAAGGAGGAGCATCGGCATATGTTAGCAGTGGACCAGTCCAGGATCGCATACAAGTCACTCAGATCTGGCAGTATGAGGACACGCAGGCCATACGCTGTGTCTCCTTCAGTCCTTGTGGCCGTTATCTTGGCATTGGTAGGCATGACCACATTTTCCTTGGATTTATGTTCGCGATCACTCGCCGAACTCATCTACGGCACGACTGTATGATTTCTTGTTGACTGAAAACTTCCTAACTTCCGATATAGTAGTGCCACAAGACAAAGTGATAGCCATACAACCTCGCCTGTATGGTCGTGTCTCCCTCCGCAGTTCTCTTCATACAAAGTTGTACATTCCTCAAGCAATTCACTTCGACTTCAATTCCGTGGTGTACGAATACCTGCTGTCTATAAGTGGCTGTCATTATCAAGGCACTATGCAGAGCCTTGTCTATAGTTTCCTCGCAATCTCGGGCCCTAGGCGAATGCAGTACGCAGGGCCCCTCCTGTCCCTGCCCTTGCCGTGGTCCCTAGGCCTTAGATTGTTCCTGGTGTGATGTAGGCACCAACAGTCGGTCGATGATAATATGTGATGTGGAAGCCATAGAGGATGGGGACACTGTAGAGCTCCTCAGACGGGACAAGTACCACGCTGGCTCGATGTGAGCTGATACAGCAGGATGAGGACCCCCTAGGGTTGGGCAGATACTGCATGTCGTGGTCACCAGAGAGCATGGTCTTGGTCACTGGTTCCAACGACCAGAGCTTACAGGTCATGTTCTTTGATCATGGTCTGACACTCGACAACGCCCGAGAGCGCAGATGGTATCCACAAGCAGGTAAACTGTGAGGTCAATCAGTCCTGGTCTAGATGGCTTTCACAGGGACTATTCGAACGGTCTGCGCGGCGAGTTTGACAACTTTCCTCAGTGGTTCGAGTAATGAGCACTGTGTTAGAGTGTGGGACGTAAGGGCCAGTTGGGAGGGTAGACCGCGAGCTCTCATATATCAGTAACGATTTCGAAAGTTCCAGTTTCAATTCGATTCGCAATAGCTAGTTATCATACCTATGCTCTATTGAAGTCTCAGCTCAAAACTCTCATTCGTTGACGGAAAATGCCGATTTTTCCGAAATTGCCGGAGGAAAAAAAGTACGCTCTTTATATTTAGGTGGACAGAGATAGTAGTAAGGCTACGTTGGGTGGTCCGAGATGGACAGATGCTATGCCTGGCAATGTAAGAAGACTCCTTGAGGAAGGCGTTCACTGCATTACCCTCAGGCTCTGTCTCTTAGCTGTGGCCACCAGGATGATGGAGTACTTGTTGCCGTTGGCTCATCTGGTGGAGGAGTCTCTATCTGGTGAGTGTTGGGGTCCAAGAGTCCTCTTGGGGTGATAGAAAGGAGACATAGACGAGATCGATAGTGTCACGCACTCGATGTGAATAGGTCTAATGTGCTCCTCGTAACGCATCCGCAGAGTTGCCGTAACTCTCTGCTATAGTAATGATATTGTAGCATGTGTTGTTCATGGCCTTGTCCGGTTTGGGCCCAGCATAGGACCTTTCGGTCAACACGTACCACACGCCCAGTCCAGGTAAGTACTGTCATGATGGTCATCAGGTCCCTAAGGTCATGCACTCCGGTATGGACCCCTCCTGGGGAAATGCATCACCGAGAAGCCAATAGTGTGAGTATATCTCCCGACACAAGTACGAGCCTTCACCTTGGTCCATTGGGGATGATCCTCCCCAGTGTATATCGGTGCGGGCTTCGAGGACGGCACTGTTGCCATATGGGACACGCGCTCTACTGCTCAGCGACCTCTCGTTTACCGACCATCTGCACACAGTGACAGCTGCCGGTAAACGCCTGGCAGTGTTGAAATAGAACTTCAGCTCCGCAGGGGATTTCCAAAGCCACATTATGAAAGTCCACTCCGGAGATATACGAAGATCAACAAAAATTCTCGGAAATTTCACCGGAACTTTACGACTGTCGTCAATACGCGTAGTTGATCATGTGTATGTCTCTCTGGTTCGGCCACTGGACCAGTGATAGGATTCCTGGTCTGACCGTACCTAGGGTTTCCTTATTGTTAGTGCCGTGGCTTTGATGACAGACTTCGGCAATAAGAGACCGAAAATAGCAAGTGTGGGGTTCGACAACACTCTGACCATCACCAACGGGACAGGAGCCACGGACTGTACACTGCGTGGTGAGATAGCGTCACGCGCCATGAAATTACCCTGAGAGTATGTTTCAGAGCATACCGACCGTGTGGTTGGCGTCAGTTGGTGTGGACAAAGGAGGATGCTGATAAGCTCGAGCGCTGATGCCGTTGCTAGATGTTTCAAACTCGCGTGCTGATTGTATAATTCGAGATTTGAGTTTACTATATCGGGAAGTGAACTAACACTATTGCATCAGAAAAGAAACACAAATACATGCATGACTGGTGATCCTGGTCTAGCTCCATGCATTGGATGATGTTGGAGACAACTCGTGCACGACTGGAGTGCCGGATGGAACGATTATGCTAGTTTAATCAACCATGAACTAATAAGAGCAGTCACTCAGAAAGAAAAAAGTACGAGGGATGCACAGCGAGGACGATGTGTGGGATAAAGAGATCACCACTGAGTCTGAACATGCCCTCGGGCCGGCCAACACGTCAGAACTGGCGAAGCGCCTACGACCTTTGGGCATACAACGACCACAACTCAGGCCTGAACGAGGGCATCTATCTAGTCATTCTTTGATGACACCCTAAACCATCATGTTCTCATACCGGGACCAGTTTACCTGTCAGAGCCATCAAAAACGACGCTAGTATTTTTCGGGCGCGCGCTAACTAATGCTCGTTTTTCGTGCAACTTGCAAGAATCTGTCAGCGCAAGATTTCGGATCGCGACGGTCGCTGGTCAACAATTTGAGTTTCTATCAGCCATTACCCAATCCTGAATTTAATAATGTCGCGGATCACCCTTGCCTTAGCAGCTCTGCTTATCGACAGTCTCAGTGGCTTCGACCACGAGGTGAGCATTTGGTCCTCGGAGTCGGACCAAGTGGTCCTTGGGTCAACCAAGTTATTACACGTGTTGCTCACTGTTCAGTTACATCACAACAAGCCGGTCTCACTGGTCCTCCCTAAGGGCCCGTTTATCCTACATGAAAGGTGACCAGTCTGGTCTGTCCCTTTGGCACTTCCTTCACAGACTTTTCCAAGCTCGCAATGGAGTGGTATTCCGAGTGACCGATTCCAACAAGAACGACTACGCCCTTAAGGCTGTGTCCCTACCTGTGGACACGGACCAGGAGAGGAAGATTCACACGCTGGGCCAGTTCAACAGAGAGAAGATGTGGTTCGGAAAGACCAACACGGTCCAGTGCGCTGCTATAGGTGAACTAATGTGGGCCTGTCCGTGAATACTACGACTTCTTTTCTCAGGTTCTGCTAAGCCTGGTCAGACCGTCACCTGTCCAAACCACCACGTGCTCTACGGGTGAGATCAGCCCAGTGACAGGTCCACGAGCTTAGGTGTGTCGTACTAGGTTTGGTCACGACGTCAGTGACATTCAATACGAGAACGGCACTAAAGTCCCTGTCACCAGTGGTGTCACCATGGTCGTTCCCAAGGCATCTGGCCGGAAATCTGAGGACGTCAAGAACATATAGTGAGCCATCCTCAGAGTGGGCCTCGATGACAAGCGTATACAGTTTCGGGAGTAACATCTTGATGCAGTACATGCCTGGTGGTCGCCTTGTCGATCTCCTTCAACCAGCAGCAGACCAACAGGGCTACATTGGAGAGTTCTCTAGCATGATCACGAGGTGGTGGTCTATGAGGACAACGACGTCTCAGAGGAATGTTGATTTTAATAGGTTCCCTCTGTTCCAGAAGATCGCCCCTCAGCTGGTCACCAGTCTTAGATTTCTCCACTCGAAAGCCCACATGGTAGGTATCGTCAACGTCGCGCTAAATGACCTCCTTTATATCACTCAGATTCATTTGGGCATGTCACCAAAAACAGTCCTATGCTCCGATAATAAGTGCAGTGACGCGGCCATATTTGAGTACTTCAATACTTGGGATGGGAAGGTTCCCACTCCGGTAGCAACAACTGTTCATACCATCATTTGCCCGTATCACAACGTGTCCCTCAGAGCACCCCACCGGCGGCTAGCGAGCTCATGCAGGACTCAGTAGTCCTCGCCACTGGAGCTGAGGACGGGAAAAACTCGTAAGTGGTCTTGCCTGAAGTCATGGTAGGTCGCGAAATCTGTTCTCAGGGAGACTAAGGAAATTCGCAGTTTACTGAGCAGCCCTTCCCTTACCTTCGACGAGGCAAAGAGTGTGGACTGGTGAGTCGTACAGGGGAAACAGCGGAGTCGGTGTAAACCAATGTTGGAGTATATATTTGCTCCCCTCAGCTGAGCTCAGGAGTTCCTGATTCGTCAATTCTGGTGAAAGTATACAAAAATCGATAAAAATTTCCCACAATCTCCTCAGATTAGCATATTGTCACCAACACGTGCAGTTGACCATGTGCAGGTTTTCCCACACTGGTATCAACATTCTCATAATTTACATATAGCAACAACGATTAGTATCGGTCCGTTGTCAGGTATGCCCTCGGTGGCACTCTGTTCAACATCATTTCCGGCACCAGAGCAGTGGTGGATGAACGCAAGTTGAATAATCCTTCGGTTGCTCTACAGGCCGAGAAGGTCGTGGCCCCTGAGGTAAGACCACCAGGACCAGCGTGGAAGGACCAACATATTGCTGTTCAGAACAAGAAGCGCAATAGTGCTGTCCACATGCTCACCGCGTCTCTGTCCAAGTCGATGAGATCTGAGGTCAGTAAAGCCCCCCTTGAAAATCGACATTATTGGTGACTTAGGTGGTCGAGTCGATGCTCCTGATCGACGGACTCCTTCAAGAGGACCGTAAGCGCCGTATCTCATTCGACATTGAGGACGCCACGACACCCGCGGTCCAGCAGAAGGAGGCGGTCGCCAAGCAGAGCCTCAGAGCTGGCAGAAGAACGTCCCTGCAGAAAGCCGCCGTCCCTGATGTTATTGAGGCACCGATCCCCCATGGTAAGCGGCAGGGGGTATTGCATTCATCGAAGATAGTTTATGATTAGTGACCAACACGACTGGCGTGAACTGTGGGGAGTATATGAAACAAGGAGGAAGCCAAGTCGGGAAGAATTCCCATTTGGGCGCCTTCACACCTAATCGTAAGAACGCCAGGATCTGTATGGGCTGTGTTTATGCAGAGTTGGTTCAGATACTCCCACGTTCATGAAAGGCATGTGTGTGCCAGTATGAAGCCGACGAACTCCGATGAGTTCGAAAGTGCAAAGAATGGTGGTTGTTGAGATGATGAATAGTTGTGTTCAGTATATAGAATCCGCTAAAAGGATCACTTTCGCCCGTACTGAAGCTTGTAGAAAACGGTGCACTTTATCCAGACTGTTACGGCCACACTAGCCCCACTATGGGGACGATTAGTCCAGCTGTGGTTATGCAATCGACGTTCATCGTACACCGGTGTAATACACTTTCCTCACTGCGACTGTATAACTTTTCCCTAATGCGGGGCAATTGCGAATTACAACACATTTTGGTTTCTCCACTTGGTCAGGAACACATTGTCCAAGAAATCTCCATGTTAGTGTCAAGAAGGGAAGTGCGACATGTCATTTTTAAACCGACGAGTCTCTGTTTACGATATGTCATGGCACATGCCATTTCGTGGACGCCGATATCTGCGAGTCATGGATTGTGACGTAAAACGGCAGTGCATACCAAAATTTAGTGAAGTTTTACTTTGATATGTAACTGCAATCGGTTGTATATACCCCTTGCCTTGCTACTGAGATCAGGCGAGCGCCGACAGTTGATCTATTGTGTTTAGAAAGTTGAACACTCAAAAACGGCAATCTGTTGATGTCGATACAATTCCACGGCGTGGCCCGGAATGAGTACGTGAAATAATCACATATTCAACTTCCAAAATACCGAAAGAACATCGGTGAAATTGGTCCAGTATCTCCGAGAATAGTATTAGAACAGCCCCGTGTACTGCATTTGCGCAACACTCCTGCAAGTGAGCCAACAAGACATTCATGATATGCCATGATTACGAAGATGGGCACCATACTGTAGTCAACTTAGAATATGAATCCGGCTAGGAGTCGGAGGTCATTGAATTTCGCCGAACCAGTACGCTTCCCGAGGCCCTTCGACCACTCCACCGTCGACTTGGGCCCACAGAAGATACGCTCATGCCAATCCCAAGAGCCTGAACTCATCGAGAAATAACCCGGAGCATGCCCCAACATTGCATGGTACCTTCTTGGCATCAGCCTGGGCTCGGAAGCCCTTCTTGGCCAGCTTGGCCTCGGCATCGTCACTCAACGACGAGTCACTTGACCACAATTCGCCAATCTGCATGGGGACATAACACAAACACTTTGAATGAAACCGCATTGCCTTACACCGGTAATTTCCTCGACCTCATGCTTCATCATATGTATTACTCTTTGCCCTTGTGGGCCTACTAGAGACACTATTGGCGAGGACTACCGGGTGTAGACCTACCTTCGACAGGACCATGCTTAGGTTGGAGCCGATGGTCCGAAGCCTCGTTTACGACAGAATCTGCCACAGAGATTCACCCCAATGCCCTCGCTGGATAATCTAGTTGTCCTTACCTGGACTGACTTCGGTTGGTCCTTCCTTCACGGGTACAACAAGCTCCTCTCTAGATGGTAACTAGAGACCACAGCTCAGCACCATCGGACCGGACCATGACCCACCTCCGCGGGGACCGGACCAGCGGTTTCAGAGACCGTGGTCTCTACCGGAGTGGGCCGGGCCGGCTCATGTCCTCGACTGACCCTCCGTACTTGCGGTATTGGGGGCCTTGGGCGCACAGCAGGAACCTGAGACCAGCAGGGATCAGCAAGACCCAGCCCTCAGACACCAGAACCACCCTAGGTCCAACACTTCTCTCTGAGCCACTATGGTCAGCCGACTGGGCCTGAAGGGACAACGAATGAACCACAGAGCCCCTCGGCTGACGAACTGAGCCCACCTCAGTAGGAGGTGTCACTGGCCGGTTGCCACTTTCCCTCGGGGACTCAATGACCTGACCGGGACCGGTTGAGCCGGCACGACTCCATCCCCCCTGCAACTTACTGGTGGGGGCTGAGCTTCCGGATATCTGTACACTTGAGGCCACACCAAGCCCTTACCATGGTGGTCATTGTCAGGACCAAATACTTCCATTTTCTGGTATATGAACATATTGTGGTAATAATTCACATCGGTTGTGACCACTCCACCTCCCTCAACTCTGTGGTGCTCACTGTGGACCACCTGCTCAGGCTGGCCCACAGTAGCAGCAGTGTCTCGACGACCAAACATGACCCGGCCAGGAGGCTCAAGTCCAGAATTAGCTTGGTCGGTATGAGGGGCTCGAACCCCAGCCGAAGGCCCTTTGGCTTTTTTGAAGCCCATGGGACCAGCTGATTTGGGTACGGCATGTCCCTGCGTGAGGGGCGGTCCATCACCACGTGTCTTAGTAACCGCAGATGCCCGCTTGAAAGCGGCTCGACCCTTCTTTGCCGGACTGGGAGAGGTGTCATGTGCTGGACCAAGATCAGCTCCCTGATTCTGATGGGCATGGGCCACGGGTGGACCACCCACTGGTACTGAGTGATCACTCGGTTTGGACGATGGTAATGGGGCATCGTGATGTTGCGGAACCGGATCTAACCTCTCTGTAGACCCGACTTGACTAAGCTCCTCCACAGGGTGGACCGGACCAGGCCCCCTCTCCACAGGGTGGACCGAACCAGGCCCCCTCTCCACAGGGTGGACCGGACCAGGCCCCCTCTCCACAGGGTGGACCGGACCAGGCCCCCTCTCCACAGGGTGGACCGGACCAGGCCCCCTCTCCACAGGATGGACCGTACCAGGCCCCCTCTCGACAGGGTGGACCGGGCCAAGCTTCTCCATAGATTGGACCGGACCAGGACCCCTCTCCACAGGGTGGACCTGATCAGGCTCCTTCCCCACAGGATGGACCGGACCAGGCCCCCGAGCGTGCGCAAGTTGATCCAGTCTCTCAACGGGCTCGACTAGACCAAGCCGTTCAGGGTGATGGTTGAGGTTCTCGGGTGGTACCAACGAAGGGTTGTCCCCTGGGCCTATCCCTATTGGGTTATCATTGAGATGGGTTACCGTACACCTACAATGGGCACACTTAGCACCGCCCCCCGAGGGCTCGTTTGACCAGTTGCGGACCGGTAGTGGTATTACATTTTAAGGAGATGCCGAACTTCATGTTCTGGGTGGGCCTGACCCTGTTCCATGGCCCTAGTGAAAGCCTCCATAGCAGTCTTCTCATCCAGATCTGGTGCCTGGACAAGGCACCTCCACAAGACGCAATAGGACCATCGATATACCCACCGAAAAATGAACATGTTGTTTGGGAGGTCCTCCACTTGGGTCTACTTCCTCTACTACTCGCACATGGACCTACCCTCACCCTACTGGATCAGGAGCTGACTCTGCTGTACCCACCTTGCGCTTCATAACTAATGCGAATCCCTTCTCCAAGGCAGTACGTATGTTAGAATCTAATCATACTCCCTGAGGACCACCGCTGGGGCCCCACTGTGCTACTTCGAGCAGCTTCCTCATCAATGACTTTCAATGCGGCTCGGAGAACTGGCGCCTCCGGGGTTCGAACCGGGGGTTCTTCAGGGGGTCGAGTGATCTGACCGCGGAAACTCCCCCTCGGCAGGGGGAAAGCAGATGCCCACCTCGAGACCAGCGGTTGGTCCACCCGACTTTCGCGTCGCTGTCCGGTATCTGATCGTGAGGGGGTCCGAGTTGGGTCGGAAGAGGAGCCCACAGAGTCTCCATGCGAGGATCGATATCACGGCACCCTCGGAGCAGGCTGGCCACCACAGTGTTGAAGGCAACCGAATCAAAGGATGGGGTGAAGTATCTATCAGGACAGCTAGTGGTCCACGAGAGGGGTCGGCGTGGGCCCACCTGTAGGCACAAATGGCCACTATGGCTTCAGACAACTTTTTGACATCATCTTGCAACCTTGAGTTGGACAGAGTAGAGGGTCGCTCCAGTTCGCGGAGTCGGGCCTCATTGCGTTCGGCCACGGCGAAGTCTTTGGCTAGGGCCTCTTCCATGATGGCTCTGAGACATAGTAGACTGTCCCAAGGCCATCCCGAGGGATCCCTACACTTCCCGCTCCAGGGCCTGTACTTTGAGCATTTCTCGGGCGATCAACTTGGTGTATAGACCAGAATCGCGATCTCTTCGGGCAGGGGAGGGAGGGGCTGCCACGTCGACACGTCCCTCCAACTGGAATCTAGGGACCCTCACCTCCACTTGGAATATACCTCTCCCGATGGACCATGTTTTTGCGAACCTCAGGGGTCCGCGACCGAGAACGTGATCCTCCTGAGGTGAAGTGGTCGATGGCCACAATAATGAGCATGACCAGTGACGAGGTCACCTCCGGATGGTGGTACAGCGTGGCGTCTTTCTGGGCATAGATGGTTCCGAATGAAGTCACTAGGACCGAACATGCGTGGTGGCGGAGGTGGGGACTTCGCCACTGCATCAGTGCGATAAAGCAGATTGAGGATGAGGAGCTCACGTGGTGGATCAGGGACGATTTCACGTGCATTATGTGCCAGGGGCCTCGGCTGTGGAGACCTGGTCAATGTGGGGGGCCGCCTAGAACACCAACCCATAGGAGTTAATACATGCGTACGCTGGGGAAGGCGAAGTTTGATCCGCCCAGCCGATGAGAAACATTCGGCAGTCGGACCCACACCCACACGGGCAGGGTTCGGGTTGGTAGGATATTGCAAATTTCGCAAAAGGAATAAATGATTTCTGGTCCCGAAGCCCAACCAGGGGGCCATGCATCACCATCTCACCCGGTAGTCTGCACTGGTGACCGTCCAACCCTTTGAGGCGGCGACTTCGGAACCTAAATCAGCCGATCCGGAATAGATGGTCCCGTGAGCAGCAGATGAGAAGCTCACAAAGTTCAGTCGATGCCAATAATGTACATCCGCCTCTCTAGGTGGGGTCCGAATCGGTGATATGTGAGTCTCTGAGGGAATGCTGAGAGTCCCTCCCGATGGACCCCATGGCGTACCTGGGTCCTGATACATCTTCGGTGGTTTCCGTATCTCCCTTTGACGTTGTGGTAAAGGCCCACTGGCTAAGGGCATGTTAATTACGATGAATGGGAGGGGGCAGAGAAACGTTTCAAGCCCTACTCACGAGGCACATTTTACTATCAGCAACTCGAGGGGCATTGCCAGCCTTGGATGAAAACGCAATAGCTAATTTCCACTTGTGTGAGCTCAACTCATGAGCCTTACTGGAGACCAAGCCTCTACTGGTCTTCATACAACGACCAACTCTGGTTCATCAACGGAGGCAACGATCACTCCAAGACGAGAGCATATCAGTTTTTTGTACTCCACAACTTGCACATTTCCACCAGAAGCAAAGAATGGGCTTTCTTGCATTTCCTGCAAACCACCCGGGTGTAGGAATCGGCGCAGGGTCTCATCTCTGTATGAGTTCCTGCCAGAGTATAACCACGTCAAAGGCTCATATAGTATCATATCAAGTCCAAATAGAGGATAGATGGGGAGGAGGTGAGCTCCCAGCATAATCTTCACAAGAGCCAGGTTCGATCCCTTCACATTGCATGTTCCTCTTATCAAGCATCATACCAATTATCATATCTCGAATTCCTATCAGTTGGCCGTACATACCCCGCGCCTCGCGATGGCTGGTGGCTTTAGTAGCTCGGCTACCACGCCTCTTTGAGCTAGCCGATACAAGCCTCCTCCGTAGGAAGATAAACCAACCGTCCCTACAGCCAATACATTAATGAAGTGTAGTGGACAAAGGCAGAAGATGATTGACATCTTATATTCTAGCTCGATGTACTCAGACGTGACCACGTCCAAGACCATAAGCATTCGAGCTAACGACCAGTAGTTGTGAGAAATTTATCGAAATCGCTTGACCGCTGGACGCTTCAAGTAGCCGAGCCTTTGAACTCCGGAACACAACAGGATCAATAAAACGAGACCCAGCACTATTTTTGGATGGTCCGGTGATTTAGGGATGAACAGGCGACCGGTCAGGTACGGCGAACAACACTCACCACAACAGAACGGATAGAACAATATTGAAATGAAGAAACATGAGAAGAAGGCCCGAGTGTAACACGATTCCATTTCGGGTCTAGCATGTCGAGCGCCCGGCATCAACACGCTTGTTGATTTTCAATAGGGAAGGCAGGAAGTAGATATTCCTGGGAAAACGCCTAAGCTAGCCTCCTGGCCAATCGAAATGCACCCAAAACGAACAGACGATGATCGGCCAGAACTCAGACATAATTTCCTGCCAGAGCCGCTACTCTGGAGCAAACTCAGTTGAACAACCTCTAGAGACACTATTCGATAAGAAACCGTCGTATGATGCGAATAACGAGCAATCGACGGATCTCCTTTAAGAATGAAGTGAAGAAGACATCTGTGTGAGGACGTGAGACAAGATAATACGATCTAATAGTAGTAGACTTGAAAACTATTCGAAGGGAGTAGAACGTACGTCCCTGTCCGAGACCGGAGGCAGCAGACCATAAGGTTAAAAAATATATAGTTTATGAAGCGCATCGAGGTCAGAATGATTCGTCAGCAACTCGGGTAACGGCTCTATTGCTTTCACAAAGCGAGACCACTTCTCGTCGCTGAGGGCCAAAAATTCGAGTGACATATATGAAGTTGGTCCAAAGTTGACGAGGTTCCCAAGCAAGAGGTGTCCATATGAGACGAAGCCACATCGGGTGTAACGCCCACGAAATCAAGGGGCGCGGCCGAGCCCTCAGGGGTGACCTGAAGACATCGGTCTAGCTGGGCCTCGTCAGATCCACAGACCGTGAAAGTTGCCGAGTCTTTGCCGGATATCGCGTTCGTCAATTTCCGGTGCTTATAGCAGTAGGCACTGGAGAGCCTCTAGCATATTCCCCACATCCCGGCACGTGACAGGACTTTCCACCACCATGTCGAAGACAGAACCTATATAGCGAGGGCACGTAGAGAATCACCATTGACTGCTGCCCTACAGGACCTTAGTGGTGTCCCCTCGTTTGGAAGCGTTGGGGCACCTAGGCATGGCACATCTGCGCACACTGCAATGCTTCACGCAGAACCGTGTCCCTAAATTGAACCAACATTGAAAGCTTTGCAAGCTGACTCACCGTTTTGCCGATATTTGTACAGCCCAGAGGGTACGCAGATTTTCCCTTGCTACTATTACATCGTGATCCAGAGCTGATACTGCTAGAGTTGCTGCCCTTCTGCTTTTCAGCGCTGATGAGTCGAGCATCTCATTATTAAAGTCCTGGGGAGCTCGGATCGGGGCCGTTGACACTATGGGAAAAAGCAGATTTGAATCGACTTGACGATATTCTCCCTGAACAGAAGGATTTTCTCTATTGTGAATCATCGTTCTCTGTTGCGACTGTACGTCTTGCGGTAGGTCCTCGAGAAGCAGGGCCAGCTCGAGCGGAGGCAACAATGAAATGAAAATTTTGGTGAAGGCAATAAACTGTCACGAGGTCTACAAGCCCCGTCATTTCAGTTCCGACGTTGATTCACAGGCATCGAATGCTCGGCTGTGGCGTACACTACTCTGCATATGTCTTCTGCCCTCTACACAGTGTGGGGTACGCCCTTAATGTTACAGTCTTCTCTCAAATGCTTTCATGCCACTACTACTATAAGGTACCCTCTACAACCCTGCAGTCGCCTCCATGACCTTCCAGCCGTACCAATTAACCGCTGAGTGTGATTACACCGACCTTAGCGGTATTATCGGGCTCTCATATGAACTCAGAAACACCAAAGAAGGAGAATAAGAAATCCCTCTCGATCTACTCGTGTAACTCGACACTCATTGACTGGTAAAGTACAGATTATTCACTAGTCTTCTCTATGGCGAATCTGCGAGCATCAGCAGCTACAGACACTAGTGAGGTAAGGGCCACGTCCGTGCTGAAGATCCTGGGCATCGTAGTGACGCACTCGAACCCCTTTTCCCGCATCATCTCGATCTCATAGTCGAGCCAACCGCCCTCAGGGCCCAACGCCAAGACCACCCGTTTCGGCGATCCGCTTCCCAAACACTTCACTACTGCTTCGTGGAGTTGACTACAACCGTCGTAAGGGTGACACACGAGTCGGCAGTATTTCTCCTCAGGGAAAGACCGCTCCAGCTCCCCGTTGAGGAAGCGTTCGAAAGACTTCGGGTGCACGGAAACTTTCGTAAGAGTTGTATCAACACTGGCTTGCTCGAGGCCCTTGAGTAATAACGGCCGATAGAACTCCGGTCGAAGAACATGTGTTGCCCAAAACGCTTTTTCGACTCTCTCCGCAGTGATAATACAGATTCGCTTTACGCCAAGTTGCGCTATAGTGGGCCACAATCGGGCCATGACCTTAGGTCGAGGAGCACAAAGGATCAGGTCCACTCCAGGGTCGGCCATGGCTCCCGCTTCCGCGCCAGCCCCTTGGATAGGCGCAGCGAAATCCACTTTAAATCTAACACCCAATTCTACACTGCTTTCCTCGACCATTACCGAACACAAGGGCCCATCGATGACTCCAGCCCTGATCCAATCGCCCGGTTCGCTCTTGAGGACCTTCTGAACGTGTTTGGCTCGTGCATCCGACGACGGCAGTCTGACGTAGGCGACAGAGTTCTTCTTCTCATCACACTCAGCATCGGTTGAGGTCGTGGAAGGGTATTCAAGCTCAGCTTCTTCGAATAATATAAGGTTCATAGGCACAGAGAAGAGAGTAACAAGAGGAACTACTATGGGGTCGAGACAATGTCCATTCTACTCTAACAAATTTACACAACATGAATCGCTTCGCTCCGCCTCCGCGCGCGCGTCACGTTACGTGAATCACATAGCTTTTGTATGTTCTCTGCCAGAGTCACTGACAGAGTCATCACCCGATACTTCACTCAGCTCTCGTACATGACTAGATAGCCTAGTAGAGATGAGATGTAACACCAGTCTGGGCATTAGCCATGTGGGCATGCCTGTACTCATGAACTCATGTTAGGAAAAGACATCTTTTCCAGAGAAGTGAGCAAAGTACTCAGAGCATGAGCAATGAAATCCAATAATTTTCACCCTATCGTTCAACTGCGCGACTACAACAGAGGTTAATACCTCTAGCGACCAGCGAATTATCCTAGGGGCCACGACAGGTTCGATGTCCTCAGCGGAAGTTTGTAATACAACCACCGTGAGCATCGTCCGATTGAAAGTGTCAAAAATGGGGTGGAATCCTCGGCGTGAGCCGACTTTCTTGAGTGCCTTCCCCTCAAAGGCATCAAACCATCTACATCTTGATACAAAAACTACGCTGGCGCTGTAGGCCAGACGAAACAGCTAAACCTAAGACAATGCATTCAAAAGGACAACCCATTATCAGCGACCAAGGAGAAGGTGCTCACCTCCACCAGCTCGACATAAGCATCCAGATCATCGATCTCCTCTAGAGTAGCCGTGGACGGTATCGGGCGTACAACCACGAGGTTAGTGCCTACCATTGTAGGCATCACTTAGCATTGTGGAATAGACTTTACCCGAGGCGGCCAGACCAGTGTCCTTACAGAAATCCTTCACATTTTGAATCACTGCTTCTGCCGATTGATAACTGAATTAAAAATATCGGGATATTTGGAAAAAAAGGGATTTTTTTCTGATCAGAAAAGAATTTGATAAACCAACCCATTGAGCGATCGCGTTACCTAGATGTCTGCAGTGGCTCGACACCCCAGAGGGTTGTGAAGAAGTTCACCACCGCCTCAGAGGCCGACATGGCCAGGATCTGAACACGGCGCTGATGAGGAAACCTTCACGTGTTGCATCAACACCTTGCAAGAAGGCCTCATCCTAGAAAGCATAGCCGCTGTTGTTCCGTCGTCCGAGAAGGCCTGAAAAAAAACTATAGCAATAACGACAGTGTTCATGGAATCTTACCGCTATGAGCTTAGACTTATTCCCCGGGTCCCTCTGTATTGCGATGGCTCTCTCGACCACCAGTCGTACCACCGAGTCAGATTTACTCGGACTCGACGAAAATGCATCTGCTGCCGAAACCCGACACTCTACATAACTCTATAACGATGTTCGTAGATCGAGCAGCGAGCTGAGTCTCACTTAATCCTCTAGTGTATGGATGGTAGCAGCAGCATGTGACGCTTGATCACTGGAGAGCTGAAGGGAATGACGATACCCAGAATGGTTGTCGTGAGAGACGCAAACTGCTTACCAGAGCTGTATCGCTTTGAACCAATACTGCGGCCATAAGGTTGCCTACTGGTGCGGCAGAGCAGTCCGTGATCACCTATGAAGTTTCGTGGAGACAAAATTATACACGAAGTCTGACATGATAGATTATACGAGTCATAGGTGAAACGTTGACCATCAACAGAACCTATGAAGTCTTATTACAGCACTACTGCGAGGTAAGGTTTATTGTAGACTCTCACAATGTCAATTACGGTGCGTTTCAGGAGAGCACTGTTGAAAAAGATACGGAGGAGGTCTACAACGAACACCCACAAGTTGCCTACCAATTTTCCAGCCAAATTCGCACGGCGCAGATACTCTGAAAGTTTACCGTCAACGGCGGTACAACCTGAGCTCGACCTCACCCGATCCAGTTGGTGCTTACTATTCCATCCACAGTCGGGAGGAAGTCATCAATGTTCTTAGTAGAAGTGGTGTGTATCTGGGCTAGCGAACTCCAAGCTGAGAGGGCATTCAGCGCTGAGCTTCTTACGAATATCTTAATTCTTCTCCTCTTCATTCCCAGGGCAGAGCTCCGAGATAATGTAATTTCGGCGCCAGTGCGAACCGGTGGGATAATGACCGCGCTGATACCATGTGGTATAGGCACTTTAACAATAGACAGTTTAGCCAGTTCGTTGTTGCCCACAGACAAAGCCAACGAAAAAGGCCGACTGACGCCACTGTTGCTCTTCCCCGCAGTTCCTGAAAAAAGTTCCCTTCCCGCGGCACGCCCTAGAGGGGACTACTGATCTTGTGGACGCATGAGTTGAGCTTGTCTACTAACGCTTGAGGATCAGCTGAGGAGGGTAAAAACTCAGCATTGACCTCTGTCCGACTTGTGTGATACCAGCCTCGTTAAAAACTCCCTTGGTGATGTCCAGTACAACAATGGAAGCGCCGCCTCCCAACAACCTTCCAAAATACCTGAGGGCAGTAGGAATGTAGATGTTTCACCAGAGTTATGGGTACTCTTCGGTGAGGTTCTCCTCCGGTATGGTGACCAGGTTGACCGAGGCTGCGACTTTCATGCAGGGCACTGTACAGGAACAGACATCCACAACGAGACATCCTCAACTCGCTTACTGTCCTTTCCCCATAGCCTAGGGGTAGGAGCACTGTTGAAACAGGCTTCGGCGGCGGACTGATGAGGCCATTGGGGTGATGCTAGGCAGATCCTCGTTGACTACCTCGTCCATGGCACGGACTCTCTTATCGGCGACCCCGACCATCGTCAAGATGTCCTCTTCTACCTTCGAGTCGATGGCCATCTATCTCAAGCGACTTGGGAAATTAAGGCCTGCCACGGTCGGATGAGAGGCTCCCCCGGATCTTACTTCTGCGTTCCGTGTCGTAAGCGCATGATAACTTCGTGGCGCGCGACAGATCGTCGACACTTACTGATTCGAGTCTCGAAATCTCATCTACCGTAAATGATCTACGTGACCAAAGGTCACTGACCATATTTGACTTGCACGCGAATGATCATCGCGGAACGCAGGGTCCATAATACGTGACCCGATCGGGGTGTATTCAAGACACCAGTCAAACACAATACACTATTGGCGCGCAGGACCCCTTCTGGGATTAAGGAGCAGCGAAACACAGCTTTAAGCTAGAACATGGTTTTGAACGACATGTTGATTCGAAGCTATCCCACTGCTTGTGAGCGCCAAGGTGTCTATAGGCACACGTTGCTGCAATGTGGCCCCCAACGGATAGTAAGAAAGTGTAGCACGACGATCATGAGCATCCCCAAGGATTAGGTTAGCCAGCAATTGGATCTTTGTGACCGTCTCAGTGGCATGGGTCTCAATAGTCCATCCTGTCATTAGAATGGTGTAGCGAAGCTCCACACTTGGAAGCAATACACGTCTGTTCGGGACCGTCCCGATGCCAACCCTCGGAGGGTTATACACGTCGAGTGCCCTGCCACCTCTCGCACTAGGCGTGGCAGATGAGACGCAGGCCATGTAATAGCCACTCTCGACCGCGTCGGCCGATGGGAAGTTCCTTCCTAGCCCTTCCAACGCTCTACGGAGCAGATTTTAGTCGATATGACCTATCTGCCAGAGACTGTGACCTGCCGCATTCCACCCGATGGAGGCGAAGCCTGCGCCGACACCCATATTGGCGGCGGCAACACCCCTATCGAGCACGAAAAAGTGGCGTGAACGACTCGATGGTTGCCGCAAGCAGGTTGAATGAGGCTATAGGCTCCACCTCCGAACTGTTGCTCAGTAAAAAGCGTATGTAGGGGAACGAAGTCGGCTTCACCAGGCTGGAGCTCGATTACGGCGGTAGTGCCGGCGATCACGCCTGGGACTGCCTCGGTTAAAGCCACGATTGAATTCTCAATCGGGATCGATTGCACTGCTGGTAGTTTATTATGAAGCCAGCTAACCGTATTAGCCGGAAGTTCGTTAAGCTCTAGCTGGGTGAGCTTGAGTACATTACACCACACAGGGTTCCAAATAGGCTCCACGCTAGACAAAGTACCGACGTTCGGGCCTAGGGCGTCGAACAACGCAGTAGTGGCCGACGTGTAGGCCGGTTTCGAGACTGGTTGGCCATTCAACTGCATAACGTACGACGACATAAGATCTCTCTTGAGGTCGCCACGGCTGCTTGAAAATACAGCCTTGACACAAAGCCCTTGGGCCCTGAGGGCCTGCCTGCTCCGATGATGTTGTAACTTACAACTTGTAAGTGCTTCCGTACCCCGAATTCTTCGGGCCGAATATCTCTGATAAATGTGGACATGTCCGAGGGCTGAATTCTAGAAGCGGAGAGCAATATACTTACGGGTCAACGTGTTATGACGCCTAATTATGGTAGCGTAAAAACACACCGACCGGAATGTACTAACTTATTATATAAAGTAACTTCTATCCCTTACCTCAGCAGACTGGTTCGCCAACTTGCTCCTGAGATTCACGGTATAACGCACTCCTGTGTGACCAGGTCACAGTGACCTTGTAGTGCGAAATTCTCCATGTTGCTATTAGCTCTCAGCTCCGCGCGGGCGCCGGTAGTGATTAAGTGAGTGGATAGGCTCGTGCCAGCAGCCAAGTGGCTGGTGGCTCGATTTTCGACAGAACTGTCATTTACGGTAGGATATTAAAATAACCCTAAAAGCATGGGCGAGCGCTCGCTACGCGAGGAGTGACAGTGACCCCCATGTTGATTAAAACAATTCTGGAATTCAGAATCGATTCTAGCATCGTATTATACGTGTAAAAAGCGTCCTTTGAATCGATTCTGAGTTTCAAGATCGGTTTATTGAACGACCCCTGAGTGAGAGCAGAAACCGAGAAGTTGTGAATTCATGTCGGCTAACCGAAGTTGGCGCGTTGGTTCGAGAGCGAAAGCGAGGCGGCGGAGCTGTTCACACTGAGAGCGGCGGAGACGAGAAATTCTATAAAACATGAGCATATCATGGCATGACGATCATGCATTCCTAGGGATAAGCGGGATCAATGATCCCGGATCATGCAGGCGTTGGTTTGGTACGCTTAGGAGCACGAGAGGAGGGTGAAGCTGCAGTAGGCCCCTGAGAATCGCCCCAAGCAAAAGGACGAGTTGATGCCGGTTGCTTTAGAGGAGGAGGGTCTGCGCGACGTTTCTGAGGAGTGGTGGCAGAGCGAGCATGAGGTGTGGACTGTCAATAGCAATCCCCCAGGTATTGGAAGAGGAGCAGCTGATTCATCAGCTCCTTGGTATACACCCCTCCACATATTCTTAGCATATCCGGTTTTTCGACTCGTGCACAGCCACCACAACGAGTACCATCTTGCGGCTCAGGGAAGTATGTACTTATGCTTTACCTGATATGACCTCCAAGTTTCAGGGCCTAACTCTGTAGTTAGTGAGAAGTCGACGACCGGTAAAACGTTTTCTCCACATATTCCTAGCATACACGTGTTAAAATTGCGCCTCAAAATACCAACTTTTACTCGGGGAATATATCTATAACTCCGATCCTGATCTAATGCTATACATCAATAGAAAGAGAATCGTTCATAATGGTAACCCTCCATGTTTCACTTTCATATTTGCAAAATTGCTCAATTTTGTTACATAATAGCACTTCACATACCGGCAACTTTTATATATTGTAGCAATTCCCTGAAATATAAACCAGCAAACGATATTCATTCGAGCAGTTCCTGTTATACAATACGCAAATTTGCGTATTTGTGAAGTGAATTTTACTACTTTGCTGCTTTGTATATCAGCCATACCTTTCTTACACACTAGCACAACAGCAAAAGCCGCAGGAAATATACATTCCAGCTAATAGGCACTTTTTTGCCATTTGCTCCTTTGCTATTTTATAACTGAGCCTATTTGAGAACTTCGACTCGCCTCTTCCACTCCGTAGAATTGTGCGATAATATATAGTCTTCTCCGACGATGGTGTCTCAGATATTATTATCAAAACGTTCGCTGTGTATAACTCAACTAGATTACCTCAAATATGTCGACTCGAGCCTCTATAGAGTGGCTATGGCTGGCGACTATCGGGCTGGGAACCTACTGATCGCTAGGAGTATCTTTTGGATGCTTGCGATGCAAGAACACCATCTGAATTGTTAAAGCGCTTGTGTTTCTATTATTTGCTCGTGGTTTACTGTCATTTTTGGTATCATAGTTAGTTGGTATCATACCACCCGCAGTCACTTCCTCGCATGAGGGAACAAATACGCAGATTGGCGAGTTACTCGTCATCATAATTGATCTCATTTCGACTGTGTGTAACCGCATACGTGTCTTAGTGATTACCATGAGGGAGAATCACCTTTCAAGTGCATAGTGTCGACAAGGGTCTTTCCGTGTTGATGATAGACAAGTCAAGTCGATGTGCGGAGTTCGATCGTATGGGCGCGCGCTTTTCACAAGCAAGTCAAAACGACTAGTGTTATTGCCATCTCAAAGTTTTTAGCCTCCAAGAATGGACTCAAACAAGGGGATGTCAACTCGACTTCTCGATCCATCAGCGGTGGACCTCTCCTCGTCCTCCAGTCTTGTGCCGTATCGCCAAGGCTTCGTACAGAGGTCCTTCGCTCCGCTCACTGCGGGAGGCATCAGGCAATCAACGTTTACACTCATCTCGACGGCTATGGGAGGTGGAGTCCTCTGCCTACCATATGTTATGAAACAGGTGAGGATAGCGACACCGCTTTAGTCGAACTGGTCAGCGTTTCCTTTTTTCAGGTTGGCATCATCAACGGAGTGCTTTTGTTGAGCATCTCGTCGCTTATCGCTTTCGTCACAATGTACATCCTCATTATGTGTACTGTTAGAGTGAACAAGCATTCGTACGGTTCTCTCCTCGGCTACTGTGCAGGCAAATGGGTTGCTCCAGTGTTGGACATCATACTCTTCTTCTACGGCATGGGTGCTGTCATCGCTTACTTCATCCTACTCGGTGACTTCTTGCCAGCCCTTTTCCAGCTGGTCGGCGTCACGGTTGCAAGTCGTACGATCTGCATGGTCGGGGCGGCAGCCTTTGCGGTACCCCTGGTGCTTCCCCGTCGTTTGTCGGCTCTACAGTACGTCTCTCCAGTGGCCACCTTCTCGCTCATTCTCACGGCAGCCATCACGATGATCAAGGCACGCGGTCAAGCTTCGTTGTTGCCCCCCGAAGCCCCGATGGATTTGCTCATTTTCGGGTGGCCTCTGCTGAAATGCTTTACCATCACACTATT